CGTGGCACATCTACTGACTGTCCGGTGCGAAGCAAGGTCTGTTCAGAAATTTGAAGGGTAACAGTTTTCGTTAGGCTTCGCGAAAGACCCCGTTCCGGGTTTTGGGACATCGCCATCGTCCGGAACCTAGTTGGAACATTGGGACGTTTGAATTGCGTTGGCGGTACGAACGGTCGGGTTTTCCAGTTTGGAACTCAGATGTACAGTGACCGCGCGATTGCTGTATGCGAATTGGTTCAGATTATTAGGGCGTATCTTTGGTTCCGGTCATGAGCACTGTTCATTAGACAGCGTCACTACGACGATGACGCCGACACTGACGTCAGCGACGACGATCTCGAAGAGATCGTCTCGGAATCAGACAGCGAAGCCGATTCCGACAACTACAAGGATGGGAGCGACGACGACGGCCAGGATGAGGATGGCGGCGAAGAGGCAAGCGCCTAGAGATACAACACGCTGCCAGGAGGTGAGGAGGTGCTCATGCCATAGGTGTAAGGCCACACACAGGATGAGAACCTGTGCGCTGACCATGGTTTATGACCGCGCTGTAACAGCCGAGAGGACGCGCTTAACGCATTAAGAGCTGTGGCCGGTCGCATTCGGTTCATCACTGGGGCGCGCAATTGCTGGGAGCGCGTTTGTTGTGGGCGACTTGGCGTGGAGCGGCTGGTTGCTTGTATATGGGGATCCTTTGCGTAGCGCTCAATCTTTGTGGAGTCGTGTTGTGACTCTGTAAAAAGTGTCACACAATTGTTACGGGTTTTTTTTACAAGTTTGGGAGGTGCACATTTGACATTGACAGGCGTGAGTCAACTGAAGACGGTCGTCTACAGAGTGGTCTGCACATGGGGTCGCAGTGCATTCTGATTGGTCGGGGGAACATTTTGACTGACGGTCGCATGCAGAGGGATGGATGACCCGAAGTTCGGACCGCGCGCGCCTCGACGCCCCACTTTGGGTCATGCGCTAATTGCGGATGCTCCAAACAGTAGAATGAACAGTGCTCATGACCGGAACCAAAGATACGCCCTTAGAACTATCTCTAAGCAATTCCAAGCCCATTAGATGGGAAGCGAAACGAGTCATCGAATGACGTGCGAAAATGACAACGAACCAGCATTCACCGAACCAGGCCCTCGATGGCGACATTCAGTCACAAGGTCACAGGAACAGCAGTGACAACAGCCATACACAGCCGCTATCGTGTGGTGGACCTCAAAGTCAGCGCCTTCGGCGATTGCCATGTTGGAGGGCCCTACGACAGCAAGGGCCCTCACGAAGCTGTTGACTCAGTCGTATGCGGTGGGCGACTACTAGCGTTGACAACACCAACTCGGGAAAGACGGTGGTCACGCATTGACTAGCAGCAGCTGCGATGGAGCTTGTGCTAGTCTATGGGAGTCTTGCGAGCCTTCCTTGCAAGGCACGCCACCTCCTAGCAAGTTTGTGGGTGTCTTGTATGGTGTAGCCGAGTTGGGGTTGGTGTTTGGTGGTGCGACGTGTTTGGCGAACCATTCCGCTGCTGAGTCAGGTTGGAATTGGCCGAGGCGCGGTTCACCCACCCTCGCGACACTTTCGTGTGGGTTGGGTTACTGCGCAGCACCACGGCAACTTTGTGCAACTCTCCAAACTCTCCCGTAGCCTATATTTGCTTGTGTGTTTGCTTGTGTGTTCAATATATTCTATTTTCCTAGTGAAGTCCAAACGCTACTTCAATTCTCACTAAGTCCTTAGACGCGAACGCTACCGAAACTCTACCAAGTTGCTGACGCAACATTTCCCTAGCAGAAACTCTCTCGTTATCGCTACGCTCTATAATATATTCCTTCATGGTGCGGTGAGAGTGGACCGAACACGCATAGATTTCCGTCGTCATTGATATTTGCGTTCGTATACTCGCCTTGGCGTGCGGCGTTAGTGAAGGGCGCTTATTAATTTAAGTTGAACCTCTCTTGATTTCCCTCCAGTTACGTTCTCGGACCCAAGGATAGGGCGTTTGGTAATTTATTACCACTCGTCTGAGGACCCTTGTGAGGTGACCCCGAGACGAGGGATTTAAGGAAGGGGCAATTTATTTTAATTTGTGGTACCTTATCGAGACGTCGTAAAGGATGAGTACGGAGGAGGCGGACGTTGAGGCCGTTGATTTTCGCGCACTAGAGGAGGATCTCGCAGCGCGTCGTTCTCGTGGTGAGCTTAGTAATTTAGATTACGAGCTCATGTTGGAGGGATTACGCTCTCGTCAGCGTCGCGATCATCCCTCGCCACGTGTAGAGCAAGCCGCGGGAGGAACTAGTGCGTGGGATATGGCTGTCGATGGCGGAAATAGCGATAACGAGCAGCTTGATAGGTTGATGTCGCGTGGGGTCCTGCGAGGACCAACTCGGTTTAGTACGGCTAGCGTCGGCGGTGTACAAGAGCGTGTTCATCGTGCGGCAGCGTCACGAGAGCATGCGAATGTAGGACGGCGGAGCGTTGCTGGAGGAGGGAGTGCGGAGGAGTACGATAGTGGGGAAATGCCGGGCGTTACCCCGATTGGATCGATGTCGAGGGACGAGGGAATAGCCCCCAACTATGGCTTCTTCAAATTCACTCCAGACAAAATCGTCGTCCCTAGGCCGTTAGAAGGACGTCACGACCTGTCGACGTGGACAGAATCAATCGAGCCGCAGCTTGAGATCGCTCAGCTAAAGCGATTCATAGATGGCACCACTCCCATTCCACCAGCGCGTGCACTTGCACATCTCTCTCAGTTCCGTGCGATGCAGTTGCTGACGTTCACCACCATTTCCCGATGCTGCTCCCCAACCGTACAGATCGCCCTTAAGGCGTGCCGCTTCAAGATAGATGCCGGCTATCAGGCATGGCGGTTTATTATGCGCACGTACATGGCGAAGGACGATCTGTACATCGGTCAGTTAGAGCAGGCGCTCACTAACCTCGAGATGGGAGAGCACGAGTCCGCGACGTCCTATTGCAACCGTGCGCAGCAGATCCTAGTGAACCTGAGGATGGCCGGCGTAGATTACTCGCAGGCGTCGTACATCACTCACGTTGTGAAGGGGTTGCCGCAGCAGTACAACCTCTTACGCAGGATGCTGAAGCTGCCGCAGGTGCGCAAGGAGTTGGACGAGGACACCCTCGCTAGCTACATCATCGAGGAGGAGTGTACGATGGCGGCGGAGGGACGAAAGGACCAATTCCTTCCCCAGGCTAACCAGGTCTTTACCAAGAAGGGTAAGCCCCAATTCCAGCAGACTTCATTCCCTTCCCCTCCCACTACGGCACAGCAGCAGCAGCCTAAGAATGGGGGTGGGGATGGTGGGGGAGGGGAAAAGTGGAAAGGGCGTAAGGATGGCCAGTCGAAGGGGGGGAAAGGGGGCTTCAAGGGGAAGTGCTATGTGTGTGGACAGACAGGGCATGTTGCTAAGTACTGTCAGCAGCGGGCGGATAAGGAGGCAGACACTGGTGAAGAGGGTTCTGGAGGTAGCAGCAACAAGGGGGGTGATGGCTCTAAGGGGAGCGGGCAGTCATCATGTGCGATGGTGAAGCCCGTTGTAGAGCAGACTCCTCTCGTTGTGCTGGAGCCTGAGGCCGGGGAGGGCTTACAGGCTGTTGCAGCTGCTGTGAAGGCGAACCCGAGCGTCGTGCTGCTTGATAGCGGATGCTCCCACCATCTCATGGGAGATCGTTCTGCCTTTGTGGAGATGAGCAGCGGCGGCAGTATTAAACAGGTTACTGGCTTCAACGGCGCGCTTCAGGAGGTGCAGGGGCGGGGCACAGTCGCTCTTCTTGGAGAGGGGGGCAGGCGTGTCTTGGTGCCGGACGTGCTGTATGTACCTGGAGTGCAGGCGAGTCTTCTCTCTGCTGGGCAGCTGCGTGATAGTGGTGTGCAACTGCTGGATGCCGGGGATGTGACTTTGCTGCGGGCACCAGATGGATCGCTCCTTGGTCGTGCGGAGTTCAAGGGGCGTGTTCTCTGCACGAACTTCCAGCCGTGTTCGACGCAGCAGCAGGAAGGCGAAGTGGTGGCACTTCGTACTTTGGCGACGGGCGTACGGACTAAGGGGGACCTGTGGCATGCGCGAATGGCACACGTTGGTATTGATGCCATCGAGCGCACAGCGGCTCACGGGTCAGTGAAGGGCTTGGATTTGGAGAAGGGGGGCAAGTCAGGCATACCTTGTGTCTCCTGTGTTGGGGGGAAGATCACTCGTCATACCTTTCCTTCTGTGGGAGAGGAGGAGGATGAGTTGCTTGGGGTGGTGCATGCTGACCTGTGTGGCCCTTTCCGTGAAGCAACTAAGGACGGCAGCCGCTACTTCTTGGTGCTGAAAGATCGCAAGACGCGGTTCGTCTGGGCCTACCCCTTGGCCAAGAAGAGCGATGCATTGGCGGCGTTCCAGAAGTGGCTCCCGATGGCAGAGAGGCAGTGCAAGACCACGGTGAAGGTGCTGCGCACTGATCGGGGTGGCGAGTTCCTGGGCCACGACTTCACGCTCTTCCTTGACGAGAAGGGGATCATCCACGACCTCACGTGCCCATATACGCCGGAGCAGAACGGGATGGTGGAGAGGGAGATGCGCAGCATTGTGGAGGCTGTGCGGACGATGTTGCTGCACATGGGTGTGCAGCATCACTGGTGGCACCTGGCGTTGGCGCAGGCCGTCTGGGTGCGCAACCGCGTGGAGCACGCCTCGCTGCCCTCTGGTGTGACACCGTACGAGCTCGCCTTCCGACGCAAACCCGATGTCAGTATGGTGCGTGTTTGGGGCTGCATGGTGCAGTATATGGTGCCGCAGTCGCAGCGCGGGGGGAAGCTGGCGCCTAAGGCTCGCTGGGGGTTGCACTTGGGGGTGTCAGCAGCGAGCAAGGGCTGGCACGTGCTGGACTTGGAGTCCAACCGCCTCATCACCACTGTGGAAGCAGTTTTCTATGAGACCATGTCTTTGGCAGGATGGAAGGCTTGGCATCAGCAGGAGCATGGGGGGCGTCCGATGCCCTATGAGCCCCTTCCTTCACTCTTCCCGGGCACTCTTGAGGAGGAGGTGGAGGAGGAGGAAGTGGTCGCACCTCCTGCTATGCCCTATGTCCCTACCTCAGTCCCCACCCCACCTCCTCCTCCTGTGTACCCTCGCGTGGTCCCCCCTACCCCTCCTCCTCCTCCTCCTCCTGTTATTCCCTCTCCCCTTCCACCCTCCATCCCTCCTGCCCCTGCTCCCTCCTCCTCTTCATCTTCCACGGCGCCGCCCGTTGGTGAAGGGGGGATAGTGGTGCCGCCGTCTATTGTGATCACCGACGGGCAGCGCTTTGAGACTGAGCAGCTGCAGGACGAGAGCAGCATGGATGGAGTGCGGCAGAGTGGGGGGACGGAGACTGGGGAGCAGCAGATTGGGGAGCAGCAGATAGGGGAGGAGCAGATTGGGGACCAGCAGATGGTGGACCCGCAGTCAGGGGAGCAGCAGACAGGGGAGCCACAGACGGGGGAGCAGGAGATGTGGGGAATTAGAGATGGTGGTCGTGTGGTGGCTTCTGGGACGATCAGTGCGCCACTGCGTCGCTCTACTCGCATCACTCGTGGAATCCCGCCTCTTAAGTATGCTTGGGCTTTAGTGGTTGAGCCAGCAGGATTGGATGACGAGGAGGAGGACGAGGAGTGGACAGACCTGGACCCTGACGTGGTGGCCGACCCTGAGAGGCAGTGGGATATAGCGAAGATGACAGTGAAGGAGGCCTTGGGCTGCTGGAAGGGCGACAAGGTGAAGGAGGCGATGGATGAGGAGATGCGGAGCTTGATTGAGCAGGGGACGTGGGAGTTGGTTCCACGTCCGCCAGGGGTGAATGTGATGAAGAACCGCTGGATTTTGAACACCAAGTTCCGACCTGATGGGATAGTGGAGCGTGAGAAGGCGAGGCTGGTGGTGAAGGGGTTCACGCAGGTGGCAGGGGTGGACTATGAGGAGACGTACGCCCCTGTGGGAAGCTATGTGACGGCACGTGTGCTTCTGGCAATTGCAGCTGCACTTGATTTGGACCTGATGCAGCTGGATGTGAAGAACGCGTTCCTCCATGGCGTGCTGGACGGAGACCTTTACATGGAGCAGCCGAGCTACTACGAGGATGGGACTCCTCGTGTCTGTAAGTTGGTGAAGAGTCTGTATGGGCTCAAGCAGAGCCCGATGCTGTGGTATGAGGCCTTGGATGGGGTGCTGCTTGGGGCTGGATGGAAGAAGAGCAAGGTGGATGAGGCTTTGTACTTCAAGAGTGATGCTGAGGGGGAGATGTGCTGGCTGCTGGTGTATGTGGATGACTTGCTTGCTGCCAGCCGCAGTCAGAGCATGCTGGGGGAGCTGCGTGAGCTGCTGCAGAGTGCGTTTCAGCTGCGGGAGATTAGCCCCGTGGAGAAGTATCTGGGGTTGCAGCTGATTCGGGACAGGCCTACGAGGAGGCTGTGGCTGCACCAGGGGGCCTATGTGGACAAGGTCCATAGGCGCTTCTTTGACGGGGAGCAGCCGCTGCGAGTGCCTCGCACCCCTCTTTCCTCTGACCCTTTCAGTGTGCAGACCTTCGAGGATGTGGGATGGCAGTCTCGCCAGGAGGAGGAGTACAGGCAGAAGGTGGGATCCCTGCAGTTCGCGGCCTGTACCACCCGTCCCGACATCTCGTTCGCCTGCAGCAAGCTGGGGTCGGGCCAGACTGTTCGGAGTGATCAGCACTGGAAGGAGTTGGACAGGTGCTTGACGTACTTGGTGGGGAGCAGGGATGTGGCGCTGGAGTTTGGTGGTGGGCCGGAGTCCTTGGAGCTGGTGGGCTACGCCGATGCTGATGATGCGGGAGACAAGCAGAACAGGACCAGCACTGGTGGCTGCATCTTCGTGCTCGGGGGTGCTGCTGTCTCTTGGGCGAGCCAGAGGATTCGTTGCGCCACCCTCTCCTCCACTGAGTCTGAGTATGTTGCTGCTGTGGAGGCTGGGAAGGAGGCGCGCAGGCTGCGCTTCCTGCTGGCAGAGTTTCAACTGCTGAGGAGTGAGGAGCCCACTACTCTCTTTGTGGACAACTCCTCCGCCATTTCAGTGGCAGGTAGCTTGGGGCTCAAGGGGAGCCTCAAGCACATGGAGCGTCGCCACATGTGGCTGCAGCACATGGTCAAGCGCAGGAAGCTGCAGCTGCAGTACATCCCTACGGGCGAGCAGCCTGCTGACTACCTCACGAAGGCATTGCATTTCCCCGCCTTCAGTCGTTGCTTTGAGGCTGTGGGGCAGGTGAGGCTCTCGAGCGAGGGGAGTGAGACCTAGACACTCCATGATGTGGATGGTGCCATGGCCTATCCATGGCTGGTGCGGTGCGTGTGTGCACTTTGAGAGTGCTTCGTTTGTGTGTGTTTCCCTTTGTTTTGGCGTGTATGTGTGTATGCATGCCCTGTGATTATAAAGGGCCTTGCTGTAGTATGGCAGGGGAGTGTTGGAGGGCCCTACGACAGCAAGGGCCCTCACGAAGCTGTTGACTCAGTCGTATGCGGTGGGCGACTACTAGCGTTGACAACACCAACTCGGGAAAGACGGTGGTCACGCATTGACTAGCAGCAGCTGCGATGGAGCTTGTGCTAGTCTATGGGAGTCTTGCGAGCCTTCCTTGCAAGGCACGCCACCTCCTAGCAAGTTTGTGGGTGTCTTGTATGGTGTAGCCGAGTTGGGGTTGGTGTTTGGTGGTGCGACGTGTTTGGCGAACCATTCCGCTGCTGAGTCAGGTTGGAATTGGCCGAGGCGCGGTTCACCCACCCTCGCGACACTTTCGTGTGGGTTGGGTTACTGCGCAGCACCACGGCAACTTTGTGCAACTCTCCAAACTCTCCCGTAGCCTATATTTGCTTGTGTGTTTGCTTGTGTGTTCAATATATTCTATTTTCCTAGTGAAGTCCAAACGCTACTTCAATTCTCACTAAGTCCTTAGACGCGAACGCTACCGAAACTCTACCAAGTTGCTGACGCAACATTTCCCTAGCAGAAACTCTCTCGTTATCGCTACGCTCTATAATATATTCCTTCATGCCAACCCTAAGCATTCACTGAAATTGATGCCAAAGTGAACCATTCCTTCAACCCCGACTGGATTTCACAGTTCCACTTTTTCCGATGGTGGCACTCGATCTCACTCATTCCGCAAACTCCGCCGGACCTCTCATCAGTGCTGCTGCTGGCAGCACACACGCGATTTCTTACACGACGCGTCGCGCCGTTGGTCAGCGTTCACCCCGCCTTCACGTACCTTCGAATTTCCCGGGAACTTCTGTTTCATTGCAGATTCGCGAAGGTTCCAGGAAGTTTGATCGTATGGCGGGCCGCCTTGCTTCGTTTAGACCCTTTGGATTGGTGTGCGCGAGAATCGCGTCGCGGGCGTCATCCCCGTTATTGAATTGCTCGTTTGCCACCCTGAAACCATCGGCGCGTGCGTCGTCACAGTCGTGGGACGAGCTGAGCCAACCCGTGAGTGAAGCGCGCCGAGCAGCCACCACCCACCTTATCGTCTTCCGGGAATGGGATGCCTCCACCCTCCAGATTCCACATCCCTTTGTTCTTCTCCTTTCCACTCCTCTCCTACTCTTCCTCCTCTCCTCTCCTTCCCCGCTTCTTCCCCTTTGCCTGTCACCATCGAGTCTCTCCCCCACTCCTCCCCCCTCTTTCTCTTCCTTCTTTCCCCTGTCGCAACCCCCTCCGACAGACAGGCGAGTGGCAGAGCACGCTGGGAGCGCCAGTAGCGGTGTCGGGCGTGGGGCTGCATCTGGGCCTTCCCACCACCGTTACGCTGCTGCCCGCCCCTGCTGCCTCGGGTCGGGTCTTCCACGTGGTGCTTGGGGGGGATGGCGGAGGGGGAGAGGTGGACAGGGTTGCAACAGGAGCTGGGAGGGAAGGGAGAGTGGTGGAGATCGGTGCAGATGTGTGGAGTGTGGTGGACACGCGGCTCTGCACTGTGCTGGCTGCTGCTTCCGCTACCCCGTCCAGTCCGCCCTCCTCCCCTGACGAGTCGCCAGCGGGTGGGGAACGTGAACAGAGTGAAGTGCGGTTGGGAACGGTGGAACATCTTCTGTCGGCTCTAGAGGGGTGTGGCGTGGACAACTGTGTGATTCGCGTGGAGGGCGCTGGCGAGGTGAGGTGAGGTGAGGTGAGGTGAGGTGAGGTGAGGTGAGGCCAGAGCAGGGAGACACGTTGCCGGGTTATAAACGTGGGCTGGTGAGACACGTAAGCAGATGAGACACGTAAGCAGATGAGACACGTAAGCAGATGAGACACGTAAGCAGGGTAAGAGGCACAAGAGCGGGTAAGAGCGCGGCACCTGCAGGGCGCACTTGTGGCATTCTGAGACGAGCTCTCAAACCCCACCCTCTCAAACCCCACCCGCCCCTGCCCTCAGATGCCACTTCTGGACGGATCAGCAGCGGAGTGGGTTGAACACATCATGGCGGCCGGCATCCACCCCGCCACCCTGCACCGCTCCAACGGCACCACAGGCCATGCTGCTACCGGCGATGCTGGTGCTGCTGCTAATGATGCTGTGACTGTGGAGAGGAGAAGGTGGAATTTGCCTGGAAACCAGCCAATCACGGTGCAGCATGGGGATTCGTTCATCGCTGCATTCCCCCGAGCTTCACCGCTTCTCACCTATGGCATTGATTTTCCACATGTGAGGCGTTGACTTGTCACATGTGAGGCGTTGACTTGTCACATGTGAGGCGTTGACTTGCCACATGTGAGGCGTTGACTTGTCACATGTGAGGCGTTGACTTGTCACATGTGAGGCGTTCACTTGTCACATGTGAGGCGTTGACTTGCCACATGTGAGGCGTTGACTTGTCACATGTGAGGCGTTGACTTGTCACATGTGAGGCGTTGACTTGTCACATGTGAGGCGTTGACTTGCCACACCACAGCAGTCACACATGCTGGAGTTTTCATCCCCATTCTGATACGTTTTTTTGGCTTGGTTGTTTTGTTTCGCTGCACAAGCGTCCCCAATGTTCCTACTCCGTTCCCCGGGCTGTGTATCTATCTCTAAAGGGAGGGCAATCCGTGCCTCTTAGACTAATCCCCTCGCTTGCACAACCTTAGTTGCAATTACCATCCGCTCTCACTCGTTGGTGTAGCTTGAGGTTTTTGCAAGTGTCCCCATTGACTCGAATCTGCTGACCTATTCATCAAGATTTTGCAACTTCTGTGGCATAGACATTCAATCCATTGAAGTGTTGACCCCATTGTCCCCGTTGACTCACTCAACTCCATGCACGCTCACAGGTGCCGGCCATCGGGCGGCAGTGGGTGTCGTGGGAGCCGTGCCGCTCACAGCAACCAGCACAAGCGCGAGCAGCAGAGCGACGCCAGGGCGGAGGAGAGGAACCAGGTGGAGCAGCAGAGCAGCCAGTGGGGGCAGCAGCGCAGGGCGAGCATGGCGAGCATGGAGAGCAGGGTCAGGAGTGTGGCGACTATGTGTCGGGCATTGCGCCGGCGCGCACCTTCTGCATTCTCGAACAGGTACAGAGAGCAACTTTGAAGAGCTTGCTCTCGAGACTGGTGGGCTCATCAGGAACATCACCAGTGTATACCAACGAGAGTAAGGGAAACTCGTTCGTTGGGGCGTTTGGTTATTATTAACGCGGTAGTGATGTTCATAGCAATTTGGAATCATGTCAGCATGTTCATGATTTATGTCTCACGCACGTTATGGTTACTTTAGCACGTTGATATATAAAGGCAACGGTGGCACATGAGAGCATCCTCGAAAGGGTTAGCTCATCAACGGAACAGAAGCTTACTGAATTTCTGCAGTCTTTTCTGCCCCTGAATCTTCCTACATCCCTCACCCTGTCTCTGTTGCGCCACTCACTTCTCACCAACTGGTGGAGCACATGAGAGGAGAGGAGAAGGGTTCACGAGGGATGCCTCACTCAACCATGCTCTCTCCTCCCTCCACTTCCTTTCACTCCTGCTGCTCGCCTCCCTACCGCCTTTTTGCCGCATCTCGCCGCAGGTGGAGCAGATGCGAGCAGCGGGGCTCATCAGGGGTGGCTCGCTCGACAATGCCCTCGTGTGCAGGTGAGCCTCGACAATGCCCTCGTGTGCAGGTGAGCGTGGGGGAGGTATCACTGCTACGCAGGTGCCATCCAGGGAGGAAGGAGGCGTAGGTGAGCCTGGGGGCGGTGCCATGCAGGTGAGCCTGGGGGCGGTGCCATGCAGGTGAGCCTGGGGGCGGTGCCATGCAGGTGAGCCTGGGGGCGGTGCCATGCAGGTGACCATATGTACGGCTGCGTAGTTGGAAGTTGGACGAGGCTTGAGGTCTGCGAGTGAATGGGAGGAGGAGGAAGGGCAGAGCATGGCAGCATGCACTAGGATCTAGGTAAGGCAGTGCTGTCCGGCCGTGCCATCTTCCATGCACCTGCCTTCTCACCTGTTGTCATCAAAGCGTGGCCATTTTCCCATCATTTCCTGTTCCTTTCGTGCACCCTCCTTACTGCCCGTCCCTTGTGGCTCAATCACTCCCCTCTCAATCGTTGTGGCGAGTGCCTCTTTCTGCCCTCAATCCCTCCCTCCCTTTCCCACTCCGGCTCTCCCTTGCCCTCTTCCTTTGCCCTCTTCCTTTACCCTTTCCCCTTGCCCCTCTGCCTCTCTCCTCCTGTTTCTCTCGTCCCTCGCCTTCCCCTGGTCCCCACTGCAGCCAAGCGCGAGGGTGGGTGAACCCACCTTTGAGACTCCCTCTGGAGCCGTGCCGCCACAAGCTGCTGGATCTCATAGGGGACCTGGCGCTGTGTGCCAGGGGGGGCAACGCCGGCATTCCCAACGCACACATAGTGGCCTATAAAGTGAGTGCAGAGCCTTGGCACCAATGCAAGTGCCTGTTGATGTTTGTCTCTGTGCCCTACAGGGCCCCACTTTCTAAACTCGCCCCCACAACCCTCTCTCTCCCTCGTCTCCTCCGCCGTTCCCGTCTCCCCCGTCCATGAGCAGGCGAGCCATGCTCTGCACGTGGCGTTTGGTAAGGCACTTATGGGCGCACTCGAGGCAGAGGCCAAGGGGCGTGGCGGGGCTGGGTAGCGAGTGATACAGCAAGGAGTTAACAGTTTCTTCTTGATGGTCGCCATGCTGCAGTCGCAAATGGATCCAACAACGTGCAATAAGCTTTATGGGAGCAACCCCAGGAAGGCTACCGTAAAACCAAGCCTATGCTAATAAAGAGGACATCGCTGGCACAAATAAACCTTGGTACGCTGGCTGATTCGGGGCTCTGATGAGCCCAAAGTTAAGCACACTATGTAGCAAAATTGGAGAAGTGAATTTGCAGTGCTTTGCAATGCTGCGCTGCATCCTCTATTGGTACAGAACAGATGGTTTAGCTGCCATGTTTCTGGGTGCTGGACCCTACATCCTACACAGTACACCCTACATTCTACACCGTACACCCTACATCCTACACCGTACACCCTACATCCTACACCGTACACCCTACATCCTACACCGTACGCCCTACATCCTACACCGTACACCCTACACCGTACACCCTACACCCTGCACCACACCCTACACCATACACCGTACACCGTACACCGTACACCCTACACCATACACCGTACACCGTACACCGTACACCCTACACCATACACCCTTCACAATAGACCGAGAGAGCAGGTCTGAAATGCACAGTATGTACAGTTGCTCTGGTTTCAAGCGTGCTGTACACAACTTGGCACATGTAAATGGCAACACAACACACATGGCTACAGCAACAATGGGCACTCCCAGCTAAACAAGCACATCAAGGGCAGTGGTAACTCAAGCGAACGACAACTCGCATCCATGCGTCACATCCATGCGTCACATCCATGCGTCACATCCATCCATCACCAGCTTAACATGTGCAAGCTGCCTGCTGTACCTTGCAGGGTGCATGCTCGAGCCTCCTACCCCACACGCATTGTCTGCAGCGCCCCCTCACCCTTGACCAACATCGGTCCACCCCCTGCACACCATCTTGCTTCACATGCTTACGTGCCCTCCATCGCTTCCTTCTTCATCCCATCGTCCACAGAAACTCCCACTTCTCCCTTCACCACCACTCCCCCTTGCTCCTCTTCTCTCTTCACCACCACTCCCCCTGCCCCTCTTCTCTCTTCACCACCACTCCCCCTTGCCCCTCTTCTCTCTTCACCACCACTCCCCCTGCCCCTCTTCTCTCTTCACCACCACTCCCCCTTGCCCCTCTTCCCTCTTCACCACCACTCCCCGTGCCCCTCTTCCCTCTTCTCCCGAGTGCGCGCGCCGGCCGCCCCCTCCGCGAGTGCGCGCGCCGGCCGCCCCCTCCGCGCAACCCTGACATCAACCCTAAACACTAAACCCTAAACCCTAAACCCGTGTGAGAGTACGACGGCTTATGCCAGCTATGCTTGCTTGCCTTTACTTTATCATGCTATTTCTAGCATAGGATAATCATATGCATGCATGAATTGCTTGATTTCCTAGGCTAGGTGCTTTCCTATATTTTATGTCAGGCATGGAGGGCCAAGGCGACAACTACGCGACTACGAGCGACATCGCGAGCCTCCGCACCGACATGGAGCAGACGCAGGCGACGGTTCGTCGACTCGAGGGTTTTCTGACAAGCCAACCAGGGTTCGCCACCGCAGCAGCAGCGACCACAGCGACTGCAGCACCGACAACTCCAGCAGCAGTGGCGACACCGACATTTCACGGACCGATGGCACCACTGTCGCTGAACCTCGAAGCAGCACGACCGAGGCTCTCGGAGGCGTTCGATCCAAGCGCGAAGGGATCCGACGTTCGGCGACTCGTGGCCACCCTCGAAATTTACTTCGAGGCCATTGGCTGTTCGACCCCGCAATACGATGCAGCAAGGATTCGTCTCGCAGCGACACTGTTACGTGGACCGGCTCTCGAAAAAATCTAGGCGTATACCGAAGGGTTAAAAATGGAGATCCGGCGGCAGGTGATTGCGGCGAATTACAACAGCTACAGAGACATCGTGCGTGCTGCCGAGCGATACGACGCGCTGACTCGAGGTCAACCCGAAACACGACGCTTCACGCCGAACCGTACATTTGGCACGGAGCGATCGGCACCCCCCACGTTCGCCGAACCGATGGATATCGACAAATACGACGCGAAGCAGCAGCCGACAAAATGTGAATTTTGCGGCGCAGCAGGACATCAGTTTTTGTCGTGCTACAAAATGAAGAAAGCACATGCGGCATTCGTGGACGGAAACAGTGGAGCACCCCCGAAGCAAAAAAACGGGAATCGCCAGTAGCCGCAGATCGACCTGGCAATCGCGTAAAGATCCGAAAAGCAGGAAAAGGCGACGGCGTGGCGACTTCGGAGCGGGTGAAAAAAGGAGAAAATGATGGCGCGAATCTAAAACATCACGACCGGCCGGCATCAGGGGAAATCGCCGAGGCGAATGGAGGCTCCGCGAAAAAAGACTGTGCACCGACCGGGAAACTCCAGCCGAACACCCACGAAATTAAGAATTTGTTAAAAGTATCCTATAAAGATGCTCTTGTTAGAATGAGAGAAGTGATTGAACTAGAAAGGAATGGGAGTACAAGTACATAACCCTAGAATGATGTACCCCCTAAAGGCTAACCCACTATAGCCTACACAAATACAACACATATATTGTTTGACACACCCCCAAAGGCAAAGTGGGGGAGAGCAAGCGGTCACAAGACCAGTCAGGAAAGGCAAGCAAGCTCAGGGTGGATCACAACGTCACCGCACATTCCGAGCGCAAGCAAAGGGCCACATGGTCAGTTCACATGCAGAAATATATATATGGAGTACAAAGGCAGGAGTATATATAGAGATCATAGTATATATAGCAAAGGTGATCTCAGCTAAGCAGAGCAAACAGGCAGGAGTATATATAGAGATCACAGTACAGGCAAAGCCTACAACAAGTGAGGCAAAGTGGGCACCAGCCCCAACAAAGTACAGAAGCGCTGATGATCACCAGGCTGAAGTGCCTTGGTGAATATATCAGCGGTGTTGGCCTGAGAGGCCACGTAACGCAGACGAAGCTGACCACGCTGCTGCAGCTCACGAGCAAGGAAGTAATGGAGAGCGATATGCTTCGTTCTGTGCTCCAGTCTGTGCTCCTCACTCAAGGCAATGGCGGCCTTGTTGTCGACATACAGCACTGGAGGAGAACTAGGCCGCTTTCCAAGGTCGGTCAGCAGGTAGGTGAGCGAGCGTAACTCCTGTGCAGCCATGGCTGTGGCGTAGATCTCAGCCTCATAGCTGGAGCTGAGAACTGAAGAACAACGCGTAGAGCGCCACGAAACTGAACCAGAACCAAGGCTGAAGGTGTAACCCTGTGACGACCGCTAAGAAGCCTGGTCGTCAACCCAAGAAGCGTCTGAGTGTCCAGTGAGAACAACTAAGCTCCCTCCTCCAAGCACGAGCCCCATGCCTGATGTACTGCACAAGTAGCGCAATACCCTCTTTGCAGCATCCCAGTGCACCTTTCAGTGCCGACCAGGAGCCACGTAGCGAGCTAGAAGGCCAAGAGGGTATGCTAACTCAGGACGAGTGCAACTCATCAGGTACATGAGGCAACCAACTAGCTCTGGGTAAGGACCACTCGACTCTACGGACTCATCCGAAGGCAGAGCTGAGAGTGAGTGACCTATAGCCAGAGGAGTGGCCTGTGCTGAGGACCAGGTGAAGCCGAAGCGCTGAAGGACCTGCTGCACCATGTGTGACTGAGTCAGGGTAATGGTGCAGCGTGCTCTGTCCCGGGTGATCTGCAAGCCAAGGTAGCTGCGCAGTTCAACCAGGTCTGTGCACGTGTGTCTCTTCTGCAGCTCCGACTTCACGTGGGCGAGAGACTCAGTGTCGGCTGTGGCAAAGACCAAGTCGTCGACGCACACGAGGATGTAGAACGGCAGCAGTGAAGAGTCGGTGCGTAGAAACAGCGACGGGTCAGCAGTAGAAGGAGAGAACCCAAGTGCCGCAAGAGTAGTCCTCAGTGTGTCGTGCCACTCACGTGGCGCCTGGCGGAGACCGTAGACCGGCCGCCGGAGGCTCCACTGGGTACCAGGAGGAAACGACCTTGTGAAGCCAGGAGGGCGGCGCATCCAGATCTCCTCGTGCAGACTGCCCTGCAAGAAAGCTGTGCTGAAGTCAAGAGAGTGAAGCTCGTAGTCGCGCTGAGCAGCAACGTGCAGTGGTACCCGAAGAGTGGTCATCTTCGGGGTGGGGGAGAAGGTCTGAAAGAAGTCTACTCCCTCTCGCTGATTGAAGCCTCGAGCAACGTAACGAGCCTTGAAGACAGGCGGAGAACCAGGCGGCCGCTTCACTCTGAAAATCCACATGCCACTGACGATGTTCGCCCCAGGTGGGGGAACCTCGTCGACGTAGGTGCCTGTGGACTTCCAGGAAGCCATCTCTACGTCCATGGCTGACTACCACTGTAAGGAGTAGGGACCTTCGATCGCCTCAGCGTACGATCGAGGAGTCGGGATGTCTGGTGCATCCGGGTCTCCCTCAGGGGCAACTAGCATGGGCACGAGATGGGGCGCAGCGGCTGCAGACACTTAAGATCCTCCTGTCTGTCCTCAAGGACGTCCGTGCTAAGAGCACACTCACCCCTGACAGACAGAGGACAAACAGACTCAGACTCAGCGACAAGACTGGCAGCGTATTCTAGGCGACAGCGAGCAGCAAAGTTGACAAGCTCAGCAACTAGGGCAGACGCAGCAGCAGACTCAAACGAAGGGTCATTAACAGCAGTGGCGAGGAGACGCGTGACAGTAGGACTGGCAGCACGAAGAGAGTCAGACTCCGGGTCAGCAACAGCAGGGAGAGAGGACTTAGGAGGAGACGGCAGAGGGACACGCTGTGAAGCAGTGGAGGGACGAAGTGACATCAGGTGTGTGCCAGGGGCAGGTGGCGGACGCTCACCCGGAGTACGGGGACTGGTGGAAGTAGTACAAACAGGTGACTCAGAACGGGACACAGCCGACACAGGACGAGACGCAGGCTGAGGACGCTCTGTGAGACCGCCTGTAGGACTAGTGTAGGGAGAAGGACGAGGAAGTGGCGATGCAGGCGGTAGCTGTGACTGCGGCACGATCGGCGGTGGACACTCTACAGAGGGAGGGGGACCAGGCAGAGGCGACTGACCAAGAACCTGCTGAAGGAGTGGAACGAAGTACGGCCGCGGCCGTGAGGTGCCCCCTGCAGCAGTAGAGACAGCACCAGAAACTCTAGTAGCTCCAGCAGCACCTCCAGCACCTCCAGTACCTCCATCACAAGCACCTCCAGGACCAGCTGCTCCAGCAGCTACAACGCCCGGGTCCGCAGCACCAGCAACAGCCCCAACTCCAGGGTTCGCAACACCAGCAGCAGCTCCAACGCCAGGGTCCGCAGCACCAGCAGCAGCTCCAACGCCAGGGTCCGTAGCACCAGCTGCAGCTCCAACGCCCGGGTCTGTAGCACCAGCAGCAGCTCCAACTCCTGGGTCCGCAGCACCAGTAGCAACCCCAACTCCAGGGTCCGCAGCACCAGTAGCAACCCCAACTCCAGGGTCCGCAGCACCAGCAGCAGCTCCAATGCCCGGGTCCGTAGCACCAGCAGCAGCTCCAAGTCCAGTGTCCACAGCACCAGTAGCAGGGTCCGCGACACTAGGAGCGCCACTTCTGAGACTGCAGCGTCGTGCGTACCACTCACGGAGTCGCTGGGGAGAGGGCAGCTCCTGACTAGGAGAGGAAGCACGAGCACCAGCTCCAGCAGCACTCCTAGCTCCCGAAGCACCTCTCCTGAGGCTGCCGTACTGTAAGTACCACTCACGCAGCTGCTGTGAGGAGAGAGCTCCTCCTGATGTAGCACTCCCAGGCTCAGTACCCCCAGACTCAGCACCCCCAGACTCAGCACCCGTAGGCTCCGTACTCCCAGGCTCAGCACCTCTAGGCTCAGTACTCCCAGACTCCGCACCCCCAGGCTCAGCACCCCGAGACTCCGCAACCCCAGGCTTCGCACGCCTAGGCTCAGCACCCCTAGCAGGACGAGAGTTGACAGCTACCTCGACAGGCTCAACCGGGTCTACCTGAGACACACCGGAGGGAGCGGCACCCTGAGGGGGGAGGGGGTCTACCACAGCAGCACCTGGCGCAAGGAAGAGAGGCGGGGGAGGGAGCGGGGCAGTGCGGTAGGGGAAGAGGCGGTAGAAAGGTACCGACTCATCAAAGGTGAGGACACGGCGCGAGGTGGGGTGGTAAAACTGCCAACCAGACGCGTCTGGAACAAAGCCTAGGAAGACACAAGGAACAGTGCGGGAGGAGAGCTTGTCTTCGGACTTATCGCGAACAAAAGCTCG